CTCGCCATGGGAGATAATGGCACATATTCGCCATGTGAGATAATGTCACACACTCGCCATGTGAGATGATGGCACATACTCGCCATTTGAGATAATGTCACAGACTCGCCATGTGAGATAATGGCACACACTCGCCATTTGAGATAATGACACACTCGCCATGTGGGATAATGGCACATATTCGCCATGTGAGATAATGTCACACACTCGCCATATGAGATAATGGCACATAGTCATCATTGAGATAATTGCACACACTCCCCATGTGAGATAGTTGCACATACTCGCTATGTGAGATAATGGCACATTCTCGCCATGTGAGATAATGGCACACACTCGCCATGTGAGATATTAGCACACGCTCGCCATGTTAGACAATGTCACACTCATAATGTGTGATAATGGCACACTCACCATGTGATTTAATGGCACACACTCATCATGTGAGATAATTGCACACTCGCCATGAGAGATAATGGCACGCTCTCCAAGTGAGATATTGGCACACTCGCCATGTGAGAGAATGGCACACTCATCATGTGAGATAATGGCACACACTCGCCATGTGAGATAATGGCACACACTCGCCATGTGAGATAATAATACACACTCCCCATGTGCGATAGTGGCACATAATCACTATGTGAGATAATGGCACATACTCGCCATGTGAGATAATGGCACACACTCGCCATGTGAGATATTAGCACACGTTCGTCATGTTAGATAATGTCACACTCGCAATGTGTGATAATAACACACTCACCATGTAATATAATGGCACAAACCCATCATGTGAGATAATTGCACACTCGCCATGAGAGATAATGGCACGCGCGCTATGTGAGATAATGGCACACTCGCCATGTGAGAAAATGTCATTCTCATCATGTGGGATAATGGCACATACTCACCATGTGAGATAATGGCACACTCGCCATGTGAGAAAATGACACACTCATCATGTGAGATAATGGCACACACTCGCCATATGAGATAATGACACACACTCGCCATATGAGATAATGGCACATAGTCATCATTGAGATAATTACACACACTTATCATGTGAGATAATGGCACACACTCCCCATGTGAGATAATGGCACATACTCGCCATGTGAGATGATGGCACATACTCGCCATGTGAGATAATGGCACATACTCGCCATGTGAGATGGTGGCACATACTCGTCATGTGAGATAATGGCACACACTCGCCATTTAAGATAATGGCACATAGTCATCATTGAGATAATTACACACACTTATCATGTGAGATAATGGCACACACTCCCCATGTGAGATAATGGCACACACTCCCCATGTGAGATGACGGCACATACTCGCCATGTGAGATAATGGCACATACTCGCCATGTGAGATGGTGGCACATACTCGTCATGTGAGATAATGGCACACACTCGCCATTTAAGATAATGGTACATAGTCATCATTGAGATAATAGCACACACTCGCCATGTGAGATAATGACACACATTCGCCATGTGAGATAATGGCACACTCATCATTTGATTCATTTAAAGCTTCAACACATGCGTCATTCGGGGGCGGCTCCTGTGTTAACCTGACGACCACATAGGAGGCCCAACACATTCTCCAGTTTAGGTCACTCTAGAGTGACTTGAACCCTCCCCCTAAGCTCAGAGCACTCCACCATCGGCCCAAATGATTCCCATGGCTCAAATCTCCCTTACTATTTCAAATGTTTATGTTTGATTGTATGTTCTGGTACGTTCTGGTATGTTTATGTATAGATTTATTGCAGGCGTATGTGGTTGGTGACGTGGGGTGTGCGTGCTGCTTGAATGACACATGTCAATACTCTGTTGATGCTTCTACTTTGCATACATTTCACCCAGAGATATCGATAAAGGCCCCAGCTCGCAGACAACAGTTCTAAGTGTTTACGGTTTCGCCGTTATTTTGCATTTGGAAAACTGAGGCTGGATATTCTCGAAAATTGACGTTTAATATACAGAAACGCAAAAGAAACGTCACCCCAAGTAACATTGCATGAAAAGTTGTCATTTAAATATCTGGGTAATTTTTGTCAAAGTTTCTAAAATTTAACATTACCTTGTCCGGATAAATGACATTTGATGATATAAAAAAAAGCAGATGACAATAAAACCGATCGCCCAAATGCATCACGGCAACGGCCATGGTAACCCGATGTACGTGAGTTCCGTGCAAATTGAAATGCACATGCGTTCCCCCATTTCTTGCCCTATAAAAATCCACCCAGATCGGATAACATTCATTTGTTATTGAATTGCTACCACATGCCAAGATTGACAAGAAATCAGCGACACCAAGCCCTTGGACGATTGCAAGCTGGACAAACCGCCCGGCAAGTAGCCATTGCATTTCAAGTCCACGTAAGGACCATATACAGGCTCCAGCAACGGTACCAGACCACCAACACTACAGATGACTGACCACGTAGTGGAAGACCAAGGGTCACCACCGGACGTCAGGATCGTCAGATTGTGCGACAGCATCTTCAAGATTGCTTTGTTACTGCTGCGGAAACTGCTCGACAGACCATTGGGACACACCAGCGACACATTAGTGCGGACACCGTGCGTCGACGATTGACGAGCAGACACCTCCACTGTCACAGACCACACCGAGGACCCATTCTGACACCACGTCTTCAGTGGACAACACAGCACCAGTATTGGTGCCACCAGCAGTGGAGAAGAGTCCCCTTCTCAGACGAGAGCCGTTACTGTATCTCAACAGCAGACGCCGTGGGGAACGTTATTCGGATGCTTGTGCTGTTGAGAGAGACTCGTGGGGTGGTCCGAGCATCATGGTGTGGGGTGGAATTGATCTTGCACAGAGGGTCGGCCCTGTGGTCCTCCAGAACATCGATCCAGGGAGAGGCAATGGTGTCACAGCAGCTAGGTACATGGATCAAGTCACACGCCAAGACCACACGCCATACCTCATTTGGCACGTCGCTGCAACCACGAGTTTCAGCATTATAACGTCCGTGCCCACACTGCGAGAGCAACAAGAGACTTCCTCCAGCAGAATGGCATCAGAACCACGCGGTGGCCTGCCCTCAGTCCCGATTTAAAACCCATTGAGCACCTGTTGGACGAGATTCAAAGACGGCTGAATGACGTCCGACCAAGGCCGACAACTTCAGCTGAACTACGTCAGGTGTTCCTCTGAGTGTGGGCTCAAGTGCCTAAGGCCTTCATCAACCGCCTCATCCATTCCATGTATCGACGTTGCACGGCAGTCATCAATGCACATGGCTGACACACGAGATACTGACTTGTGATGCCTTTTTCTCAGAGACTTGTTTTGTGTTTCACTTTAAGAACATTTGATACTTTAATGTCATCCTTGATGATCAGTTTTGCCAAGTTTCATCTTTTTATATGTCTCAAAGTATGTTTACAGTGTTTGGACAAATAAGGTTTCTCATATATGTATCCATGGTGACGTTTCTTTTGCGGTTCAGTATATTTTTAAAACAATGGTTGTTTACGAGATGAGTATTTATAGATAACATCTGGCATTACATATCATATGTAATGTCTAGTTTTTCATTGTTATGAATATTTTATATTTACCATGCCCCACATTCCAGAAAGTGGGAGCTAATGTGGTTTACATAATATTTTATTCAGGTAACAATAATTGAAATTAGTTACCTGAAAAGACACCTAAATATTTGTATATCCCTTTTAAATAATATGTGTTTCGATACACCAAAATGTTCAAGAAACAAAAAATGATGTTTGCCATTATCCTTGCCTTCAAACCAGACGCGAATTCTTGTTACACCGTCCATGTAGCCGTTGTGTAATGTAAAATACATGAATACAAGTTGATGTGTACAGTACTGTTTGGAATTGAATACGTGAATGAAATAATGAAATATATATATGTGGAACACAACGTTTCGGAGTATATGTTCACTCCTTCATCGGGTGAAGAATGCCATGAGGCAGAGAGCAAATGTATGTACATGTAAGGACAACAAAATTAATAAGATAACAAAAGGTGGAAAATAACTAAGGGTAAAAACTAACAAGGGAAGCCAACAGATGATTGGCACTGATAGGTGATTAGCAATAGACAATGAAAGCCGACACTTTACAGTAATTAGCGCTGATAGTATGAAAGCAAGTACTTATCAAAGGTAAGTGATAGGCAATGGACCCTGGGCAAACGGGAGGCCGGGGGTAATTAGCATGTATATATAAATATAAAATGGAATGGAAGTGACTTTTAATCACACTGTTTGAGTGATTAGACACATTTTAGAGTAAATCATCCTTCAAGAATTGTAACAGGCGATCGATGTAAATTTGTAAATTTAAAAGCAATAGAGTAGAATACTACACCGGAATCACTGCCCCGGGTTACCAAAGGAAGGGCCGAGTCAGCAGCATGTTTTAAAGGGAGGGGTCCAAAATATCAGACCCCTCTCTCAGATACTACATTTGGTTTTCAAAAGGGGTGTGTGTGGTCGTTGGGGGCGATATTCACGAGCAAGAGAGGTCGTTTGTCTTTAGTGCGTCAGGTAACAAACTCTTACTTTTTTATGCAAGTTGCTAATTCTTATGCAAATTATATGTGTGGCGGGTGTTACCGGTAGGGCAGAACATGTTTTCGCGAATACCTGGTTTTTATCAGTGATTTTCAATGACCCATTTATATATTTATCACCGCTATGTTGCTTTGTTTTGCCAAATGAAATCTGTTTCAGCTGATAGTCGAGTCTGGTTAATCTATGGCGTTGAAGTTTTATATTTAGACAATACACTACCGGGAGTAGAATGTTGTCGGAGGAAAGCGCTACCTTGTGGGGCGGATACCCCTGGAAGGATTGCGAAGGAGAGATATAACGATAGACAATAACATAACATCCCTCCTAGTTTATGTCCGCACAATGAAAGACAAATTGTAATGTTGGAAATATAAGTTATACATGCAGGAAAACATATACTCACGAGACTGCACAGGAGCATGGCTGTCTGACACAGAGACATGCGCAGTGTTTATGGGAGATGCGATTGTGACCCTTGACCCCACAAGCTCCAAGATGCGTCATAAAATAGCAGCCGTCAACAGTGCGTGCGAGATCGGACATGACACTAATATCACATTTCTCCACTCATACGTACACTGATGTAGCGCCTCCTATTTACAGGTAGATATGGCTGTAAATGATGACTTGCGCTGTTCGGAGCAAGCACCATACGACGCAATTTAATGCAGTATACATCAAGGACATGTATACTGCAGTATTATATATACAGAGATAGAAACAACTATTGCAGTAGTACTGTGAAAACAAACATATTCCCGATACTATTGCAGCGGAGATACAAACAACTATTGCAATAGTACTGTGACAGTTTGATAATTACTGCTCCCGTGCTATGATATCGATGCCCTTGGTATCATTGAAAATGTTTACCAGACCACGAAGTTCTGCTGCTTGGTTAATTATGAGGACTTTTAATTTTATTCTGATATAAACTTGAACAGGACTTGATCCGTAAGGCGGCATCGATGTTAATTCACCATATTCTACCATGTCATTGACGGACAATTGCCAGTTCGATAGTTCGATTAACCGATTCGTCATCGCCACATAGACTTTGTGTCGTCCCTGTAGCAGTGGGCGTTGGGATGAAGTGGCAACCTTTGAGTCGGATGTGGCTCCTTCAGGGAGGAGACACTCTCAGCACATCACTGAGGAGGAATCACACTCGTGGTGCAGACATCGCCGCGCATTGTTCTCTGTCAAGTAGGACACATCTAGTCGGATATGCTCGATGGGTCTGTCGCCAGTATTAATGAAATGTTTGTGCTCTAGGGACACATGTTCCCTTATTTTAGTTGCTTACTGAGCTGTATCAGTTTATAGATTTTCTTCTTTCACACTTGTGCATGTATTACGCCTGGCTACAGGTGATGTGTGCCTGATCCTCATGGCGCAGTTGCCCTCGTTAGTATGCCACCCTGGTTGTATTGCCATGTTTTTCATTTCATTCCACGTTCAAATTCCCTGGTTATGCCATTTTTCAAAAATAGCAATGTAGTTCATCTTTTTTGGACATCAACACACTAATTGCACTGATCTCATTTACTCTCATCCTCACACAAAGAATCATTCACTTTCTTAAAGTAACAAAGAAATTAGTTAAGTCTCACGCAGAGATTCATTCACTTTGTTAAAGTAACATAGAAGGTAGCTAAGTCTCACGCAGAGAATCATTCACTTTCTTAAAGGAACACAGAAATTGGTGTGATGCTAATGGTAATATCCTTTTCTATAGGCTTAAATAAATTGGCATTTCTCTAGACTGTAGACTGTATTGACACTACAGTTCCCCCAACTGTCCCCCTGGGTGGCTGCACACAGAATGTCAGGCAGCTTGGAACCACGTCACGCCTGATACAACTGCTGATTGTTGAAAGCACACCTGTACCCTGCCACAATAATCAGCTGGCTGATGTCAAACACTTTATAAAACCTATCCGAATAAAAATTGTCCACATTTGACCCAAGGGTTATTACTTAATTCTTTATTCAGTATTATACAGGCCACAGGCCCTTTGTACGAAATGCATGAAACATATTTGCGGCCATAGTCACAATGATAAAACACGTGCTCTTTCTTCTTTGCTATCATACAGATATTTAGCGATACTAATATGCGCTTTGTATTAAGAGTAGATAAAAGTATATTACACTTATGGACATTAGGGGGTTAATCATATTTTGAAGGAATATAGAGATGACGTAGGTGAGTATATAAGCAGGGCAGACAAGCAGGAAATGAAACTCGTCTCCCATTAGGCCCAATTGACACGGTTTGCACAATCTTTCTTTGAGAGTGATGTTAAACATCCTACCAGTTTCTATTTCCAGCCAGTGCGCATTACATTTAAACCTTGACATTCATGAACGGAATTTACTCACGGTTACAAAGTACAAATATGACGTTAGCGTTACTTTAAAATGAGTAAGACATTTTGGAGTCATTACGTAAAAGTATGTGCCATATATATTGAAAATTGTGTTTCAAAAACATTCAAGTAAATAACTATCGGGTGGTTGTGATAACCAGACATGACCAAATCAGAGAGAAAATAACGTTGTTCTAATATTAGTAACAGTATTAGTCTCTCTTATACGACTGATAAATCATCTTATATTAGTGAAACGCTGATTTTGAAGAAAGGATATCACTCTTTTTCATTGTAACATATATTTGAATACATTTGATTTATTCTATCTAAATACTTGCTAGTTTGCACATTTTGTTACATTTCGTGTACCATGAGACACATACATTATCAAAATTTCTCTTTTGGCTAAAGTTAACTCATATTGTTATCCGTCAACACTCTTGGAGGGAGTACTAATTTTTACGACTTCCTTCCCATAACCTGATAACAACTTCCTCATCATATATCGTCCACACCTGCCTCCTATTACGTCCAGCAGCCCAGAGGCTGGACATCTAATTACAAATTCCCGGAAACAAAATCAAAGACTTAATGTCGCAAAATCAAAGAATTCCCCTGCCTCAACAATGGGCAAAGGTAACCTGGTTTCTTCGCTATATGTGAGATAGGTACACCGCGGTTATCGAATCTGTATAGCGATGACCCAATCTGACCACATCTTACTACAACGTTTACAACGTACACTTAGTATATCAAGGTCTCCTTGGCTCAATCGATTGTTCGATCTGTTGTTTTTGTTGTTTAACGGCGCACTCAGCAATATTCTAGCTATATGACGGCTGTCTGTAAATAATCGAGTCTGGACGAGACAATACAGTCATTGACATAATGACATCGATCCACGCAATTGAGATCGATGACATGCATCAACCACGAGCCTGACCACCCGATCCCGTTAGTTGCCATTTATGACAAGCATCGTCGCCTTTTACGGCAAGCCATTTTATGTCCATATTCCGGATCCATACAATAACATAGGTGATTTCTTAGACTCAAATAAACTTAAAAGAAATATTGGAGAACAAGGCTGTAAGCAATGCTTTTTAATAGGTTGATAACATTTTAGCTTGAACTGCTACATTGCTTAAAGCTTGCGTCCATGACAAAACCTAAATATCTATACCCTTGTGTGACTTCCACAAGCTGTCCATTCAAATACCATTTTTCGCTAATACTCAGCCGCCAATCTTTCTGAAAAACAACAATTTTCTTTTGAATATTGACTCATACTCCATCCAGCCCACACACCATTTATCAAGGATAAATAACTCCTTTTGTTGTCTCCTGAAATCAAAAGGAAATCGTCTGCAAGAAATAATAACAGAAAGTGTATAAGATCAGGATGTAATTGTATTCCAGATAACTGCTCCTGTTCCATTGTGTGTATAATTTCATTCATGAATAATTGAAATAGAAAGGGGCTTAAAACGCAACCTTGTCTAACAGCTGTGTTTCCCACGTTTCCTTTTAATGGTACATTGGGTTTGTGATTGTGTTGGGTTTAATGTCGCCTTGAGTTTTTAGTGTTTATAAAGACATGTTAGTTCAAGGGGAAACGAAATCCTGGTTACCCCGCTCAGATACAGTATTGTTTTAGCCCCTTAATGCAGAGCACCAAGCAGGGGAACAAGTACTTTTGGTATGACGCGGCCGGGGATCGAACCGCCGACCGTCCGCTCTCCAGGCAGACGCTCTCTCCACTGGACCACAGAGGCGGTCACGGGGAGTCGTGGTGATGTCAAACAGTGACATTACAGGAGACGACCCTCATCTACGCGACCTATGTCCATCCTAAAGGTTATTTTATACTTGATGTGGCATCTGACGTCACTGCCCGAGTGTGATGTTTTCCATGACACGGGAGAGGTGCACACTTGAGGGGATGGCGGCTGGTGGGACGGAGGCACGCTGTACCAGCACCTCAATCACCTTCCTGTCTGCCCAGCCGAACATCTACAACTGTCTACAGGCTTACCGTCGTATTCCGCTTTAGAATGGATCCCCAGCAATGTATGCTGGTCGTGAGAGGCGACTTCCGGTTGACGGCGTGCCCTCGTCCCCCGTGGATCGATGCGCATGACATCAATCACTGGATTGTCTGATCCAGACTCGATTAAATACAGGCCCCCGGCATATAGCTGGAATATTGCTGAGTGCGGAAAAGAACCCATTCGAAGCACCACTGGCTTACTTCGATCCACGATCACAATGAACGTGTTGCACCAATTCAAGAGACGGGTTCCAGTATTGACCGAGGAACACGTGTCAAGTGTCAGGAGTGAACAGGTCGAGCTGATTATGACAGACGGTGAGTGTGTGAGTGTGTTTGGTTTAACGCCGCTCTGAACAATATTGCAGTTATATCACGGCGTATCAGCTTAATGTTGCAGGAAAGCCGCAAGTTATTCATGTCTCAGGCTCTTTGGTGAAACCCACGAGCATGGTGATGACACACCTAGAAATATAATCGGAGAGAACTGGGATTCGAACATGCTGGTCACAGGTTTCTAGAGTGCCAGCGGGACACAACTCTGCACAGTGAATTGCGGCGCCTCAGACGAGTGGGCCACCCGTACCCGGGTAGACGGTGAACAAGTAGTAGCAGTGTTTAAGGTGACGTTATATCAAAATCACTCAGGCAATGAATAAATAATTGAGACGATTTAACATTACTATTCAACACACTTACACTGCGTTCATCAGGAGTATGTCAATAACGATGAAAGAGAAATTAATCAAATATAAACTGCCCAAATTCCCATGCGATGTATAAGTGGAGATCAAGATACACTTGAACAGAGCTAACAGAACTAATCCCCATACTCCCGTCACCCTGGCAACACTGCAGAACATCACCGCGGAGTCAACATTTGAGAATATAATATTTAAAAAACAATATTTAGCAGGGACTCAGTCATGACTGTCTTGCAGGCTCAACAGTCACCAGAACAGTTATGAATCCCTTCAACACTGACTCTCAGAAAAACAACAACATCACATCAACTATAATGTGTTTTACTCAGAAAAACAGTTTCCACCCTTTTGACGGCGGTCTGTTAATAATAGAGTTTGGAACAGAAAATCC